GAAACTGAGTGTTAATTCAATGTAAGTACTATACTCGTTTATCTATTTGTTGGTAGATAAATATTTCCTAGTATCTATCTCTAATTATGTTTTTTCTGTTTACATATTTTATAACCATCAAATTTCGGTAGTTATACTTGTTTACACATCCCTATGGAAACAAACTATGGCGTGACTAAATTGTATCCGTATGACGCGATAAGAAATAGGTAATTTATTTTACTTTTTAGCTTTTAAGTATTAGATTTATATTTATGCTTGATATTTTTAAAAGGTGTTGACATTTTTAACTAAATAAGAGTCATTTTAAGGTTTAATGCTTATAGTAAAAATGTTTATCAACATTTTTTTTATATCATAAGATGATAATGGTTTTATATTAAGGGTGTTGTACTATTGTATTTACGTTTTTAGTAGGTATTCAATTTCAAAATAAATGGCATAAAAAAATGAATTGCTTTTCTGTCAATAAATATTTCAACGGCAGCAGCGTTTAATTATATTATCGTTTGCATTGTATACATAGTAAATAACGAAATATAATGTGAAGCAACGGAGTGACTACAACTCACTATTACTCGCATAGTCACATAATAGGTCAGATGCATTAGGTATTAACACTATTAACACACATAAATATAGATAGATGTGTGAACAATAATATGCTACAGTGTAGGTACACATATGTATTATTGGCAACATGCGATGTATTAGAGATACATTTCGCCGTCGTTTGTCTTATTTCTTTATTTGTTCTTGTTGTACGAGATAATATAATGGTATGGTATTATCGATATTGGAAAATGGTATAAAATGCAGTGTTGTGCAGTTAATCAAATGATTGTCAATTTCTGTACCTACACTTAGAATTAACGTGTAGAATTGTGTGTGTATGTGTGTTGACGTAGGATACTAGAATACAAAAAAAAAAACATTATTTACACCATGCCGAAGCAGCTCGTGAACTGTTAGTCGAATCGACACAATAAATTATTATTATCATCATCATCATCATCATCATCGTATGTACGCTCCGCTCCTGACCCGACCCGTGTGCGTGTGTGGGTTGTTTTACCATCGGTCATTCCCTCCCCTAAAGTGTGTGACCTGCGGCTCGTCCGTCTCGTCTCGTCCCGCGCGTAAAATATGTCTCTCCGAAATAATAAGTAATCGCCACCCCACGCATCCCCCGACGGAAGTCACGCGACTCGACGCGGCGGCGCGTCCATTAACCAAATGAAACCTGGCGGCGGCGTTCTTTCCGGTTAATGCCACACACACACACATTTACCCGCTCAGATATCGCAGGTATAGTCCTACAATATAGTACCTATATACTCCTCCCCCGGTAAGGGGTTTATCAGAGGGTATGCGGGGCAAGGGTGTGCCGGCGAGGTCTGAGGGGTTTCGATATCCGGCGCTAAAACTTTCCTATTTTTTTTTTTTTTTTATCACACGGCGGCGTTCATTTTTTCATATTATTTCGACGACCGCGATGATGACGGACCGACGGAGAAATCGTTAATTTCGGTAGTAAACGCGAAACACGCTCGCTTATACGACACCCGATGGGTGATGGGTGACGGCTAGCAGGGGTGAGACGGCGGCGGTGTCGGTGGCCCGATAACGCGCAGCGGCCTCGAACAAAGTGCATTAGTTAAATGAGTCGACCGCTGCCGACTAAAAGCCACTATATAGGTACCGACTGAACACTATAAGTATACATAGGCTGACAACGGTGTTTGTTCTACGTATAAACGTCCGACGAACTGACGCGTGCACAATCATCGCGACTTAAGAATAAGGCCGATAAACTTGATGATTGCTCTTTTCTATTTTATTATAGTACGAGCATTCTTTGTCACTCTCTTAACAGATTTCTTTTTTTCTCGTTTACAGACTACAGATTCTTGCATTCGGAAATTATTTTGACTATAATTATTTTATCTATCTATAATAATATGCATTGAAATCACGACGAGGGGGACTTTTAAAAATATAATTACTAACGTGTTTATTTTAACAAAACATTAAATAATATTGTTGATATTATAAGTACTCTGCAGTTATAGTATTTTTATGAATTTATAAAATTATAACAACATATAATGTACTAATGTAGCCGTGGTTTGTCTGCATGCTATTAATAGACACATTCAAAATATTAAATTTATAATAACATGCATGATGCGTATGATATGGATCTCCAAAATTCTCATCGGTGTCTGTATCTATATTGAAATATTTAATTGTGGTTAAAACATAGACTCCAAACTTATACAATTTCAACTTCAATTTAATTTTCAAGTTTTTAATACAATTTAAAATGGCTTAAGTTATGAAAACCAAATATATTGGTTTTTAGAATTCTTCATAAGTTCATAGCAACAGAAATATAATTTTTGGATCAAATTGTTTATAAAATGTAGGAATTTTTGTGTTAGTACTCTATATAGTACGATATTCATGGTTACCGTTAGATATAGTATCATGTCTGTATTTATATAGAGCAATTAAGATATTTTTAAAATATAAAGCTTTGATGTTATATACATTTAGTTTCTGGTAAATATATATATATATTCATTATTGGTGTATTTTGGTTTATTTAGCAAGGATTTAATAGGGTATTTACAGTTGATTTCAAAGAATTTGAGGGTGAGTCTTATACTTGACCCCATACTATTAATAATGTGAACCAGTTACTTATGTCAGTCCAATGGCCCAGCTGCCGCGGACTTAATTTAATAATAAAAAAAAAAAAATATTCCATAATTTAATATTGATTGAACAAGTGATATGTATATATATCTTTTTATTTGTATATTAAATATATATTTAACATTATTAAAGATATAAAAGAACTTCAGTATTTTATTGGTTAAAGCATTCATATGATGATCCCATTTAAGTTTAGTATCTTATGTTATACCAAGGTATTTGATTTTGTTTACTGAAAGTAAGGGTGTAGAATTAATATTTGCTATACAGTATACAGCCTATATAATTGATAGCTCGACGAACCAACGAGTATTTTATTTTTCGGAACAATATTTTCAAGATTTATGTTAAAATAAATGTATTTCGATTTGTCAAAGTTTATTTCTAATAAGTTGTTATCAAACCAAGCTGTAATTAAATTTTTTTATTTATAATGATTTTTGCGTTAAAAAAAAGTGAATTTCATTATTGGATTATATCATGAATGTTATTTTTAGAGAAAAGATTTTATCCGAAATTATAATTTGGGTATCTTAAAGTTTTGGTAATTTGTACTACTCTTAAAATATAATAATTCTTACTTGTATAAAGTACGTACTTTTGCAGTGTACCAATCCAGTGTCAGAAAACTAAACGTATGGGGGCTATGTACCAACTACCTCAATAAGCAAGCAGGTAAATTAATGATAATTTTTAGCTAAGTTAAGTTAAGTTGATTGAAAACATTTTAAAAATTTTAAAATTAACAGTTAACCTATTTTTTTTTTAACTCAGTTAAGTTAAAAGTTATTTTAAAATTTTCTATTAACTTACAAACTTCAGTTAAGTTTTTTTTTTTAATATCTATATAAATAAAAAGTAATATGGTATCAAATAATAAAAATCATAAATATTATTGAACACAGGAAGTAGCCAATAGTTATTCTATACCTAGAATTATTAATTATTAGGAGCTGTTGAATAGAATATTAGGTATAGTAGGTATCACAAGAATACAAAATACAGAAATAAATAAAACCTTTTGATTTATTAATACATTATACATTTTTTTAAATTATTAAATACAAATAACATGGTATCAAGGAATGTATTTAATTTTTAACTCTGAATACTTTAACTAAACTATAAGAGGAAGGAGCCAACTTTATACTTCAGTAAAATATTCATACAATTTTAACAAAAGAGTCATTTCAAAGTTTTTATCAGCCATTGAATCTCTTAAATAACTGACCTCCCGCAATAAATGAACGTTCCACGTGAGCTGAAGAAGGAATTGCTGTATTAGATTGGATATAAGCATTTTTAAACTATTGGAAAATCTAATGGAGTTTTAATATTGGTGTTCGAAAAATAGTAATTTGCAATAATCTGAATATCTTCATTTTCAAAATAGGTTTAACATGTAGGCTAGATTATTTTGTCTACTGACAATATTGGCTGTTTATGAATATAAACATTTGAGGTATAAATATATATGAGCAATAACTCAATTGGTTTTAATTTAAAAATAATTAATGTATGGCGAAAATATTATATAATATGTTCTTGAGAATAGTATATTTGTGATGGTAACCGGATAAAAAAGCCACGGACAAAAAAGCCACGGATAAATAAGCCATTGATAAAAAAGCTATGGGATAAAAAATCCACAGGATAAAAAAGCCACCGATAAAAAAGACATGGATAAAAAAGACGAATTTTAAATCAAGTATCATATGAATTTTCATAATATAATAATATAAAATAATAAATAATTAAAATAATCGTATTGTGTAAGCAATAGCTGTTAAATATTCGTCGATTGTCCGCTGTGTTAAGCCATCACTACATATTTTATACAATTTTTCTTGCATTTTTTCATAAATTTTTTTTTTTTTTTACTTAAATTGCCTATTACGAATTGGGCTAACTTTGTTTCATCTGAAGACAACTCTAATCTCATTTTCTTAATTAATGACCAAATAGAAGGATGATTGTGGCCTACTAATTTTGAAAAACGATGGTTCCACACTTCTGTTTCGTTGTTAGTTCGATGTCCATTATCAAGGGTAGTTTGATAGACATTCCATATTGATGGTGGATAGAGTGGTGCAATATTTCGAAGTCTGATACCATTATTCGGATTATGCTGAACAATTCTGTAAGACCCATGGACATACGTGGTATCAAAATAATCGACTAAATCTGTTGCCTCCGGTGGCATAATTGTTCTTAAAAAATCCATTCCCTCTAAAACTTTGTTTTCTGGTAAAAATGCTAAACTATCGAGTTTTCTACAAATGACAGATATTAGTACAATTGAACAAATGACTGTGTATAAGATATGTAGATCTTGCTGGATTATACGAGAAGATTTTGTAGGTTTTGTTGAAATGAACTCAACAACAGGTTTAGCAATAAAAAATTCAATTTTAGATAAGCTTAAAGATATTCGTTTAAGTATAAACAACCTCAGAGGGCAGGGATATGATGGTGGTGCAAATATGTCGGGGAAAAATAATGGTGCTCAAGCTCTAATTCAAAATGAGCAACCACTTGATTTCTACACACATTGTTTCAGCCATTCATTAAATCTTTGTCTGTCTAAAGCTTGTAATATTCCATCTATTATAAATATGTTGGGAATCGTGTCTTGCGTTGCTACTTTTTTTAGTGCATCTGCAAAAAGAGCTGATAAACTAAAGTCAGTTATTGAAGCAGGCACAACTAGTAATTCTGAACAAAGTAAAAAAATGAAATTAAAGAAACTGTGTGAAACTCGGTGGGTGGAACGTCATGATGCTCTAATAACATTTAAGAGCTTATACATATACTTAGTTCATGCACTTGAAGATCTACAGAATGATACTAATCCTGAAACTTCGTGTAAAGCCACATTGTACTTAAATTCTATTATGAAAAGTGATTTTTTAGTGTCACTAGAAGTCACTGTTACTGGTTTTTCATATACATTGCAACTTAGTATATCATTGCAAAGTAAGCAGCAAGATTTGTCAAAGGCATTGTCTGATATAATGGTGGTTCGATGCGCATTAGGGGAGCTTCGAGAAAATGCAGATGTTAACTTTAAAAAAATGTTTAAAGATATCGTTGAATTTTCAGCAAAAGTTGATGTCGAAATAAGTATGCCACGAGTTTGTGGACGACAAACTCATAGAGTCAATATAAATGTAACCAATCCAGAAACATATTTTAAAATTTTAGTGTATTTGCCATTTCTTGATTATATAATTCAAGCTTTGCATACACGATTTGATGATAGACTATCTGATGTTATGCCTCTGGAAGGACTGATTCCATCAAATTTTAGTTTTTATGATGATGATTCTATTTTAAAGGCAGCTATGATTTATGAAAAAGACCTTACATATTGTGATAGTTCATGTCTTAGAGCTGAACTACATATGTGGAGATGTCAGTGGTATAATTATTATGACAAACCACAATCAGTTATTGATACACTACCTCACTGTACTAATCTATTACCAAACATCCAGGTACTGTTCAGACTGTTTGCCACTTTGCCAATTACTTCTGCTACTCCAGAAAGATCATTTTCAACTTTGAAACGTTTGAAATCCTACTTAAGGTCGACCATGACAGAGGAGCGTCAAGCAAGTATAAATAAAAAAGAAAATCTAACCGAATTTAAAGTTATACAACAATTTTCAAAAACATCACCGAAGCGACTACAATTAGTAGACTGGACAAAATAAAAATATATTTTATTCTCATTATTTTTGTTATTATATTTTTTGTTAGTTCTTTTTTTCATAATTTTTTTCTTGTCTATTTTATGCTTAATTTAATTAAGAAATATATAAGCACTTTATTATTCAAACTTATAAACCAGTGACAATTGAGTAATTATTTATTTTCAAGCCTTACTTTATATACCTAGTTTTCTTAATTTTAAAGCATTTGTTAGCGCTGTTTAATTACAGGAGGGTGTTCAATAACTGGACGGTTCACCCTACAACAAATATAGTTTTTATGATATGCCTATTGCAGCACACAGTATACACAATACATTAACAATATATTACATTGATATATGCCATGTTAAGTTAATAATTCAAATTAATTAATTAAATTTATATGGTTCCATATTTTTTTAATGTTCAATACATTATAAACAACAATCATTATGATGAGTTAAAAAGAAACAGTATGCGTGGAAATAGTACGGCTGCAATCCCTTGTGCAATATTATTTTATAAGTCTATTCGTTATTCAATTTCTTACTTATTATTTTGAATGTAATAATTATAAAAACAATTATATTTAATTAATAGTCACAAATTAATAAAATTAAAATTAAAATACTTACAATAATGACTCTGGACTGTTACAACTCAGTTCAATAATTTGGACAAGACTGGCGAGTGGCGACTGCACCAGTGGTCGTTCTGCTGTAGAATGCCAGATTGCCTGAACCGTAGAGCCAGTGTTGCCAACAACTGTTAGCAAACAATGGTCAAAGACATGAAAAAAACGGCTAGAAATGGCTAAAAAAAATTTTTATTAAATAAAAATGTCAATATTGTTTCATGTATAAAAATAAAAATTTTTAATCATCTTGACTAAATAAAATAAAGTGAATCATTTGCATCAATTTCTTCTTCGTTTTCACTGGAGTTGTTCAATTCTATAATATCAGCTGATGTATATGCTGATAATGTGCCAATTTTTTTTATTATTGATTCAGGAATAATATAATCAGAACAACATTTTTTTTTCTTCTTAACCTCGATCTAATGGTGAGAATTAAATCCAACGTTTTTGGTAACATTTAGTTGCGCGTCTTACTTTTAATAATATTCATTTGACTAAAGAGCCTTTCGACTTCGGCATTGGACCATGGAAGTATCAGCATTTGAATAACAAACGAACTCAGGTCAGCAAACGGATTATAACCTGAAGCATCCTTATACAGTGATACTTCGTACCAAAATGATTGTGTTATTTTTTTCCAGCCACTGTATGGATGTTATATTTACCCATTGATTATTTATTTTGTCAATTATATCTTCTTTAGTGTTCATAAGTTCTAGTAAAGGAATTAAATTGTCTTTTAATGTTTTTAAGCTATTATTAACAGAAAACATTGAAATGCTTTCCAATATTTCAATATTTTTGGGTAATCGCTGCTGCAGTTGTTTTAAAATTTCAATAGTAAAATGTATACGCCTATGCCTAAGTGTTTTTTCATCTTCATCTTTAAAATTTGGAATATTTTTTAAAGCATTTTCAAATTTGTATCATAGATATGGTTTAGGGTGTAAATATTGTTCCGAAAATTTAGTATTAATTGAATTATAATTTAAAGATGGGTTTACTATTTTTTTTAGACACCGATCGAACTAAATTAGATAAAGTTGATAATAATTTGAGCGGATCAGCAGTGTTTAATTAAAATGCCTTGTTAACAGATTGTACTTCAAATAAAACTGGACTTAAAAATGTTAAATAAACAAAATTCTGTTGGTCATTATAAAGATATAAAGTATTTCAGCTGTGTAACATTTGTCTTTAGTTCGTGCCATTTGAAAAAGTAATTTTAGTTCAACCCATTGCTGTAGTATTCGATTTATAGCTGATTCAATTGATAGCCACCTGGTTCCACAAGCCTGAATAATTTTCAATAGACTATGTCCATCATTAATTGCCTTACATAAAGTTTTATATTCATTTTGCATTAAAGTTGAATGAGCAAACCAGTTGTAAGTTTCTTTGAATAAAAAATCAATATGCCTTGGTAATGCAACATTAGCAGCTGCAGACACAGCCAATTGTAAAGAATGACACACACATGGTACCAATATTAAAGAGGAGTTATGTTCTTTAAGCTTTTGGTGTACACCGTTATTGATACCAACCATTACCGACGCATTGTCTGTACCTATTCCAACTAGTTTGTTTATTGACAACCCTTTAATTTTTAATGTATTTAATATTGCATTTGTTATGGACACTGCATCACATGTAGTGATTTCTACTAATGTTAAATAAGTAGAAACTACTTCAACAGTTTCTTTACTAAAATATAAAATTGTGATTCTCAAAAATTGAATAACACTTATATCTGTAGACTCATCAATAAGAATACTGTAGTGCCCACTGCCAATACTATTTAAAAGATCATAATTAAAATGTGGAGTCAAAACATTTACAATTATATCAGTACATTTGGATCGATGTAGTTTTAATTCATTGGCAGAATCACTACCCTGAAATACCTTTTTACGTGTTTCCCCCAAATGATTTACTGGTAAAATTGAAGTATGGGCAGCAATGAATAAGCTCAAACTACCTTCAGCAGAGTTAGATTTATTAGATTTTTCAGGTTTCATAAATTTAGAAAGATTCCTAGAAGTTGAAAAGGCTGATGATGCTGTTCTGTGCTTCTTGGTTGTCAAATGTTTTGCAAGATCATAATTTTTTTCTATAATATCACACTTGCAATACTTAAATATATACAATACACCTGGCCTTCGTTTCATCGTCTTCGACTTCTACAAGCCACTCTTTGAATTGATTATTATTCAACCAATCTTTTCGGAATTTTTGAGTATATTGCGGTTTACCCATAATAAATTTAGATATATACAAGTTTAAATCGTCACACATGGAGAAAAAAACAGACGAGACCCATGAGCGACGAAAAGGTTGACTAGCAGAAGTTGAAGATAGAATAAAGCTCTAGGATATTCATATTTCCTGTTATATTTATATCTGACAATTCACAAATGTTGAAATGTGTATTGTAAAGGTAGTTATAGGGAGCATAGAACTATTGAAGACAATTAAGAAGTCAGAAATCAATCAACAAGCCGGTTACTAGTAGTGACTACGGACTACGGTTAAGTTAAGAAGATATTCGTATTTCGTCTAGCTAGCTAGCAGCAGCTACTGGTGTGGTTGTAGATAATATTGTTATTAATTGCTATCCTTATCTATCTCAATACTCCACAGTCCACGGACGTTTAATAATAATAAGTGATTAGCGATTACTGATTATTAATTTTCTACTACAACCCGACCATATTTGTATGAAATCCAAATAAATCGTCGTAACGCAATGTTATCGATAGAGTATAACTCAAATAATGAAATTCGAAATCGCCAAGGATTGGGAGGCACCTTCAAACGCCTGATCAACGTTGTGTATGGTGCATACTCAAAAATCGACACCGAATTCATATTTAAACAAATCTTGGAATTAACCAAAAACAAAATTAAAAATATTAATTTAGTCAAAGAAAAAACAAGAGTTGTACAAGCAGAAATATTGGACGCGAACCATACTTTGCAAGAAATCACAGAGCATCATCAGAAACTTGAAAATAACTTACGGTATTTACAAGGACTGACTAAGGAAAGTATCGTTAATATTAACAGATTAGAATTCAAAAATAAGCTGTTAGAACAAGCATTTTTATTCGAGGTAACTCTAAATCACTATGCTTACGAAACACAAAATCTTATTGCCATTATAAATGCAGCACTAGATGGCAAAATCCACACAAGCGTAATTACCCCCAGAAAATTGATACAAGAATTAACAGAAATTAAAATCAACTTACCCTTGGGAAATAGCCTCCCTATAGAACTAATACCTGAGCCCATGCCAAATCTTTTCAAAATCTCTGAAAAAACGATTTTTGTGCAAGGCGAGTACTTAATATTCTCTATTGAGATACCCTTAGTTGCAAGTAAAGTATTTAATGTGTATCGACTTATTCCATTACCAATTCTATACTCTACCAATACAGTAATTTTAATCGAACCAGAAGTTGAATATTTGGTAATTAACAATGATAACGAGGAATTTTTCACATTAACAGGAAAACAGTGGGAAGCATGTGTAAATTTAGGAACCTATAAATTATGTAAAGGTGGTCAAACATTTCACCGCCGCTCGAGATCAAACCTTTGTGAAGTAGCACTTTTAGCATATCAGACAATCCCAGAAACTTGTAAAATAAAATTGGTAACATTAACAACACCCATTTGGGATAAGTTAATGGATTCTAATGCATGGTTATTTTATACTCAACCAACGTTAGTGACTATCAAGTGTGTGGAACTCCCACAAATAGTAACATTAGAGATCTCAGGCGTAGGAAGGTTGACTACCTCACAGGATTGTGAAATCCATACAGATTATTCCATTATATTTCCGACAAGTAGATCTAATAGAAGTATCTATACCGATTTAATCCCGGAAAATAAAAAACATAAATTATTATTATCAGAAAGTCTTAAAAATATAATTCCACAGAACCTAAAAGACATAAGTATCATACACGATTTCAATTCTTTATCCAAAAGGTTAGTAGAAATAAGTAAATTACAAAAGGTAACAACAGACCCTTTAATAATATTTCAAATGGAATTTCATATGGTACTTGTGTATATCTTAATAATAACTGTAATATCTGTAGCTAGTGGATTGGCTATTAAGTTTAGAAATAGAATAATTAGAATATATTCTCCGGATATACCGAATATTTTAACATTGAATAATCAATAAGTAGACATTACAAGCATAAAATTTAGTTGTTAACACATATTGTACGGAACATTCGGAACCATTAGGTCCCTAAATTCCATTTAAGTTGGAGGGTGTTAAGAACCCCTGGTCATATTAGTTAGTATATAATATAGTTAGCGTATAATAATATTGTTCAGTGGTGACTGTCTGGAAGGATTGCTGTGGCAGCAATTCCAGGCAAGCGCTGGCTATAGACACGGCTAGTATAACAAGCCGTGGCAATTGGATTTTAGAGTAGTAAGACAGAACATAGTGATTCTCTCCAGAACATTTTTATTGTCAGATCATTTTTAACATATTATATTAATTCATTAAATTTATTGTAAGTTTTCTTTTCAAATTTAAATATAGAAAGTAATAATTAGTTCGGAAGTGTTTGTTATTTATTTGTGCGCGGACATCTCAGGATCGTCCGTAACACCGTACAGAACACGTGTACACGCACTTGTTATCGTGACAAAAACAAAAACTATACAGACGGAATATTGTCAATAGTATTGATAAGTGCCACAAATAGCACAATAATATTGACAATCTATCATTAAATATCAAAATAATTTTGATTGTTTCAATATATTGAACACGTCTTCAATATGATCAGTACACTGTCAATATTATTGTCAATATCAAATATTGAGCAATAATATTGATCGTGTATGGGCCTCTTTATTCTGAACACTCGTAATTTAATTTACAAAAAACTGAAATTAAATGAATGTGTTATGTTATTAATTCATTTTTTTTTTGTACTTTAGGGTGTGCCTTAGCACACCCGGCACACCTGTAGATCCGCCTATGAACTCGGGTAAGTAATTTTTGAAACTAAATAATTACTAAATAAACAAAATGTACCTAGGCCTAAGCATATAATATGTTAATAATATTCGATGTACCTATAAAACATTTTTTTATGAAACATATGCTTGTAAGGGTTAAGTCCGAAAACATTAAAAAAAGATACATTTGTTCAGATCATTTAAAAAGCAAATGTATATGAATCCTAATGATCCGAAAACCCGTCTAATGCCAAATGCTATTCCAGTAAAATTTTCAGGTTTATATTTAAAATATACATAATTAATAATGTAGTAGTTAGTACAAATATTAATGTACTTATAACAAAAAAAAAAAAATGTTTTTTCTATAAAATAGAATTAAATGTTGATGCCACCAATACGAATCATATGCAAAACAGTCCACAATCAAAGCCAACACACTCCGGCTCTGTTGATGGTAAATATCCACAGGCCGACAAAATCACGGAGACGCACTAATGAAATGGATGAAGGTAGGTATGATTTATTTTTATTTATATAAATACTCAAACACATATTAGGAATTTATGTAAAATTGTATAGTAAATAAAATGTTATTATGTATATTATTTTGTTGTCAATCAAAAACAAATAACTAGTGGTCGAAGAGGAGACTATGTTCCAATCGCCGATCATTCATTTTCGAAAATTTAAAAAAATATGGGGTCGTAGCATGTAACACGTTGTAAAAGTGAATTATAAATTGTATTTCTAAATTATTTTATTTTTCTTTATTTCTCCTATATATTATATTAAGACAAACAGCCAATCACTAATGTATTTCAATAAATAAATATTTTTTTTGTGACTTTATTTTTGTATTTATCTTATTAAAATTGAAATGCATATCTTGGAAAATAAAATACATATTTTACAATTTTTTATTGCATACAAATCCTAACAATGCTTATTATTAACTATTCTTAAGGCCATTTTCATAAATCATAATATTGATACTTTTATAAATAAACAAATAAGTAATTATTTTATCAAATGTTTACTGATAACCGACCAGTCGCCGCGTCTTATTGGCAAGCTTGAGCATAAACGAGATAAAAAGTTAAAGTTAAGTGATATTAGGATAGAATAATATAGAAAAGATGAAATAATAAGTAATAAACAACGGGTTGATAATTACAATTATTTACAATTGAGACAGGGGCTCGAGAGAAGAGACCATCCATTGATGGGACTTCTTGACATGTGTTAACTGATAACTAATAAGTAATATTATATTCATACAGTCATTTAGGTACAAATCAGTAATCACAAATGGATCTAGGATAAAAAAGCCACCGACAAAAAAGCCACGGATAAATAAGGTTAGGTTAGTATATATTTAACGAGTAGGTCCGAGTGCATAGACGAAACTTAATGGCTGTATAGTCTCGCTATCGACATTTATTTTGTGTGCTGTTTCTTATCGGTGTTTCTTATGCACAGAAAGGAGTCTCTAGCGAGACTCTTCAATTTTGTAAAATTAATTTTTAGATAGCTGCGGGAATAACGATAGTCGCCCGCAGTCGAATTATATAATACATCTATTATATCTGTATTCATATTGGTATGTGTGTGCATGTGTGTGTACGTGGTGCGGTCGAAGGCAGAAGGACCCAGAAGATAATTATTATTATAATTTATAATGTTAATACTGAATTACGATTCAGTTGTTAGATAAACGTTAATAATATTAATTTTAGATTTACAAAATAAAATTAATAAAGAGCCCTTCAAAATATTAAGGCTGGGAACACACTAGCGTTATTTTACCGCGCGACATTTTACTGCATGTAACGCGCGGTAAAAACATCGACCAACACACGAGCGTTATTTTACCGCACAATATTTCTCAACTTGGCGTTTTGAACAAAAATTCTTCAGTGTGTAATAACATGTCAAACATGGCAGACGTAGTAGACAAAAACATTATTTTGTATTTAGGTTACCATTTATTAATAAAAAAGAAAAAAAAGATCAACAGGAAAATGTGGGTTCATCCTTTGGTCAGTTCTCGTCCATCCGAAGGTGCGTTTACTTTACTTTTTGAAGGACTCAGAAGTGATCCTGAAAAGTTTTTTAATTTTTTTCGTATGAGCGTTTCTGCATTTGATGAGCTGCTATCCACATACTTGGGAGAAAAACATTTGAAAATGGATACACATCTGCGGAAGGCTATTTCTCCAGCTGAAAAATTGGCTGTAACGTTAAGGTAAGCAATAAGCATGACAATTTATTTTATAATTTTATTATAAAAATATTTAGAAAAAGTTTAACAAATGCATAGAAACATAATATTGTACACTGTATGGCGTATAATTTGTACGAAATGTATACATTTTTGAAATAAAATAAACATTGAACTCTCTGGTCAATAGGTACTAATAATAAATAATAATCAAACAACCTTTTTTTATAATAAAATAACGTTAAATGTATGTAGAAATAAAATGATTTTTAATAGCTGTTAAAAATTTAAAATGCAATCCTTAAATTTAAATTAACTCCTGTTTGGGCAATGTGCAAATGTTTGATCATCTGCAATTATATTTGGTTGGTACACAAGTTGTGGCGATGATGAAGATGAGCTAAAAAAAGAAGGTGCATTAGATGGTAAGTTATAGTTATAGTAGTTATAAGGTGATTCGTAGAAATGCTGCAGTGGACGTGGTTGTTGATGTTGAACCGATGAGTTGGTTGGGCCATCTTTTATTTTTTGTACTACTTTGATAACTTCTGCTCTAAACATCAAACTTTGATCATCATTAAATTGTCTTACAATAGAAAGTAACGAATCAAAAAATTTTTCATGTTCATCTTTTTCTTGAATGTGACTATTTTTTTTCGTTGCTTCTTCCAAGTACTCGATGAATTTATCCTCAACATTTTTAGTTTTTTTTGTTGATTTATTAGGACGTAATTCTTCATGTTGCACAAGTAGTTCAACCGATGAATCATGTATTTGTGATTCATTAGCAGTTTGTAGTTGTATATTTAAAGAGCTTGTGGTTTGTCTAGGTTGAATAGTTTTTATAAGAAATCCCAGTTGGTCATGGTAAACATAATTTTTTTTCTTTTCTTATTCGCCCCATCTCCAGATTTAGGCTTATTTTCTTTAATTGATCGAAAGTACGCATCTTTAATGTGCTTCCACTTTTTTTCGATGCTATTTCCTATTAATAAATATATATCATAATTTATTATATTTGTATACTCATAGAAGCTTGTTAGAAATGTTTAGAGGGGGAGAGAAGTTAAAATTTCGACAAAATACATAAAAATCACGAAATTATGCAGTTTTTTTTAATTAGGAAATTCATAAAAAATTTTCTATTTAAATCTAAGATTTGAAAATTCAACACAAGATTCTCTATATGTTTTTCTACCTTTCTAAAAATAAAAAGTTTACCGGAAACTCAAACTAATTTTTTATGAGCGATTGAAATTAGACATTGGATGTTCACCAATTTTCACCGGGAACGATTTTCTTATTTTAATGTAATTCACAAAGGAATTACCGCAGACGTTTGAAAATTTCACCAAATGTCCATATTACCAGTTTATATACACCAAAAAAATTAAAAAATATTTTGTTAATTTTTGGGCTAATTATAGGCCTAGGAAATTGTTTGTTTTCTCAAATTTTTTTTTTTTAAATATCGATAAAAAAAATGTTGCAACGACAAATTTCTTGAAAATTTAATACAAGACTCTTCGTAAGTTGTTTAAATAGTACACCAAAAATAATAAAAATACATTGGCCCAATTTTTTTTTATAAACATCAAATTTTGGCCGAAATTCATCATCGAACATTTGCAAAATGTTTTGTAGTTAAAAATTTATAAAATGTTCAGTTTTTATAACTATGGATTGAACATTTAAAACAAGATTTTACATAAGTAGTTTATATTGTAACCAAAAAATCAAAAAGATATATTATAATTATAATTTTTATAGACATTTTAAGTCAAAGTTTGGTCATCAGAATATCGAACATTTGCAAATTGTTTTGTGGTTAAAAATTCATAAAAATTGTTCTATTTATATTTAAGGTTTGAAAATTCAACACTAGATTCTAAATAAGTTTTTCTTACGATAACCGTAAAAAGTTAAAATTCTTACAAAATCAAGAAAATGTAACCACTTGTAACCTACTGTACAGCAGAGAGACATCCACTTGCCACATTTTTTTAATTTAAAACTATATATTTTAGATACCTAGGAAGCGGATGTACATTCCAAGATTTACATTATTCATTCAAACTAGGGGCTTCAACGGATATTGTTAGAGAAGTTTGCAATGTAGTTTGGGAAGAACTTGCTCATATCCAAATGCCATCTATGGCAGAGGAGATGTGGAAAGATACGGCAGCCAAGTTCGAACAACGTGCTAATTTCCCCCATTGTTTAGGAGCGATAGACGGGAAGCATATCCGTATTATAAAGCCAACAGGAACTGGAAGTCAAAATTTTAACTACAAACATTACTTCTCAATTGTCTTGCTAGCAATCGTTGATTCTAACTATAAATTTGTATACGTCGATATAGGATCATTTGGAAAAGATTCAGACTCAACGATTTTTAAAAATTCAACATTTTGGAATCTGCTACAAAAAAATGAACTTAATATTCCTGAAAGTTGTCCAATATTGAATACTAGTATCAATGCAGATTATGTTTTTGTAGAAGATGAGGCATTTGGTCTTTCTCAACATGTTTTACGTCCTTATGGAGGAAGGATTATTAATTATCGTTTGTCTCGTGCACGAAGGTATGTCGAATGTGCGTTTGGGATACTATCCAATAAATGGAGAATTTTTCATCGACCAATGAATGTTACAACTGAATTAGCAGTGGATATTACAAAAGCGTGTTGCGTTCTACACAACTATGTACGCGAAAAAAATGGAATTAATTTTCAAGATACTCTGTCTATTGACGGATTTGATGATGTAAACACTACATATTCTGACCGTGGCACACGATCAGCGAGTGATATGAGAAATACATTTGCTGATTATTTTTCTTCAGTTGGAGCTGTACCTTGGTAGCATGATAAATAAAAAATATATAGAATATAACAAAAATAATTATAATAATGTTATTCAAATTACTTTGCTCTATAAATAATGTACCTAGTTCAAAAACCATTAATTAACAATTCTATGATAAGTAATAACTCATGTTCAATAATTTTACTCAGTATTTTCATTATTTTTATCTGTATAATATTTTATGATTGAGATTTTAAATATCACTATACCTAATAAAACATAATTAGCAATTTTTTTTAATTTACCTATAATTTTTTGATCCTTTATATCCAGCTCTTCAAATCCCGGTTTCATTATACAAAATATGTCTCTCCAGCATTTCCTTTTCTCGTTTCGGTCCGAGTATGAATCTAACGTCTTATCCCATAACAACGGCCTCTCCTCTACTGATGTTATTAAAAGATCAACGTCCAAAATATCTTCTTCGGGAATCTGAATTTCTTCATCGGTTGAGGACATGTTAAAATCGATTGACATTGCAATTTGCTTTAGCACAAGCACGACTACTATAATCAACGAAAAATAACCAACTGTCCGACTGCCGCGCGATTATTACGGCCAATGTGAGGCCGCTCATTTAATTCAGTGCATATTAACAGGAAATACCTATCGCGCGGTATTTTTAACGCACGGTATAGTCAAGGTGCACGCGACAGTTTTTGAAATGTCGCGCCATAATTTTACTGCGCGACACTCGTGTGTTGTGCTCTATACATTTTAATGTATTTTAACAAAACGCGCAGTAAAATTACGGTGCGGTAAAATAACGCTAGTGTGTTCCCAGCCTAAGACATGTTTAAATACAGTTACTATAAATGGTAATCTTATTTTAATTTAATTTAATATTCATGAACATGAAGTTTGGGGGCCCAAACTAGCTGGGGGCCCAGTCCACGATCGCGGACATGCGGTCCGGGCCAGTCCGACCCTGGCTGAGGACTTCTAGTTTTTCATATTTGACTAAAAAGGTCACAGATCAATGTCAGTGATGTATAAATATGTTTCATAATACTAGTAAGTTATAATAAAAATTGTATTTTGCATATTTTGTCTATGTTAAGAGTTAAATGTTGGTCTTTGCCAAATTAAGCTATCATATAATTAGTCACATATGGTAATAATATAAGTAAATTAATAAAAGATTTACTTATATTATTACCATATGTGACTAATAATATAATATTTTATTAGTATTATAACTAATAAGCTATTATATTATTAGTCACATATGGTAATAGTGTATGTGAATCATATATTAATTATTTGAATTTTAAATTAACAAGCAGGAACCGATAAAAAATTTACATATAACTTACATTAGTGTATAGACATTTATCTACACCTGCTAGATGTTTATGATTGTATTAGAACATTTTATAATATTTTATGGGCACATATATTTATCTTTTTATTTTTTCTGTATGAATTTTATTTAATCTATATTTATTATAAAATAGTAAAATATTTATTTATTTTGTAAGATTTTGCAACACATCATTATACATTTTACATAATTAAAACAATAAACTTGCTCATCATCTCCTTTAAGCTTGATTGTGATGGAGGTGAGAGTTGTTTCGTATATAAAGAGAAAAATCACTGTTGTTACATAGTTAATAAATAGGTATGTATTTACATTCTTATTGTATCTACTATTTTATTCGAAAATAACAAAAAGAAAACAAAAACAATATACATCACAGTTAACTTTTTTAAAAATATTATCTTTTATGAACACAGAACAGAAATATAATTAACATTTAATAATATGCAGACAATTAAATTATTTTAAGTAAAGCATTTTTAAAACAAAAAATATTTTGATATGTATTAAAAATAATAATAAAATATACATAGCTCAGTTGCAGTATTACTACAACTTCTTAATCCAAAATGTTTTTTACAATTTGTTTTAATTACATTAATATTTTTCTTATATTAAAGTTGTATTTAAATAGTTAATGTTAGTTTTATAAATTACACTTTGTTTGTTATGATTAAAGTCTATTAGTTGAGCATTAAAACTTAGTATTGTGCCATAGTATTCAGTGATATGACATTAAAGTATTAACGTCAGCGCTCCCATACGTTCCGGCGAATCTGTCCGGCCGCGGCAAGTTTTTTATTGTATTTATTTTATATTGTAGAGACATGGCTACCAACGAAGATGCGCTTGCTGTTTTAGGGTTGTTGATAGCCATGAAAAATATTAAAATTAAAAAACGTAAACGTAGACTGTGGTGTAAAAATTGGTTACAAAAAAGAAACGGATATTCTCACATTAATCTGTTGACCAAATTCAAGTTGTTTCCGAAAGACTGGCATAATTACTTGCGAATGGACGAAGAAACGTACTTCCAACTTTTTTCATTGGTGACACCATTCATTAAAAAAAAAAAAAAGTTATGAGGAAATCAATCTCCCCACACGAAAGGTTAGTGTGGGGATCCCAAATAATGGCACCCTATTCAATAATTGGCCGGACTAACGAACAGTATAGAACTTTCAATGACGAAGTTAGGTTAAGGTTAAGGTCCTTTGACAATCTCATTATTATACCCAACATTCTCAGAGCTTTGCAACAAGCCATTTCTATGTCAGGGTCAAGGTTACTGGAGAGTTTGAACCCAAGATCCGTCGTAAATCCATCACAGCGAGAAATTATTGAATCCTGAATATGGTAGGAGAACTTTAACGGAGAGCGGATTCTAGTAAACGTCATGACTTTACATTTACCTAGATTCAGTGATAACCCTAATTTAACAAAAAGAGCAACAAATCTACCTAAATCACTTTTTAGTTTAAGACTGTCTTCAATGGAGTTTATTTGCATAAAAAGCTTGATGTCGTCCACAAAACATAAAACTTGACAATGATTTAGTGTTTTACTCAGGCTGTTGATGAAGATAGAAAAAGCAAAGGGGACAGGTGTCCACCTTAGGGAACACCAGAGGGGGCAAAGAGCACGTTAGATTTAACCTTGGGTAGCTTAACCCATTAATATCTGTTAACTAGGTAGGATTTAAGCCAAGACAAAAGCCGCTCACCAGTGCCACAATCTTTTAGGATTTTCACTAAGACAGCATGGTTCACGGTATCAAAGGCCTTATTAAAATCCGTGTAAATAACGTCTACCTGTGAATGATGTTGGAAAGCGTTGAAAACATAATTATGAAAAATTAGGTTGTAAGTGATAGTAGAACGAGGTTAGGTTAGGTTAGGTTAGGTTAGTAGGGGACGAACTGAATAAAGCTGTCAGGAAGCTACCCTCGGGTAAGGCACCGGGTCCTGACTTCATCCCCAACGAAGTGATCAAGTTGGCGGCTAAACGAAGCTCTAAGACGTTCCTCGAAACTTATAACGCCTGCTTGATAAATGGTCAGTTCCCCCGGAGATGGAAGTGTGCCAAGCTAGTGTTACTGCACAAGGGCGCGAGGAAGCCAATGGATCAACCCTCGAGCTTCCGACCAATCAGCCTGCTCGACGGCGGTGGCAAACTACTGGAGCGGCTCCTGCTGTGCCGTCTCGAATCCCACATAGAGACATCCGGAGTTCTTAGCAGACTCCAATACGGTTTTAGGCGTTTCCGCTCGACCATCGACGCCATTGAGGAGCTTTTGATGACGGCACGCGCTGCGAGCAAGGGCGCCGTCCAGAATAGGAAACTCTGTGCGGAGGTGGCGATTGACGTCAAGAACGCTTTCAACACTGCACCCTGGGGACTAATCGACGAAGCGCTACAAAAAGCCTCCATCCCTGAATACCTAATATGCATCCTCAGGTCCTATATGGAGGATAGGAAACTGCTGTATCCCAGTGGAAACCATTCCACAGACGGTCCAAGTGTTGATGTAACGTGCGGTGTCCCACAGGGGTCGGTGCTGGGGCCGACATTGTGGAACGTGTTCTACGACGACATTCTTCGCCTGCCGGTCGATAAAGACGTAAAACTGTTAGCTTTCGCCGACGATGTAGCGATAGTCGCGACCGCCCACAACGCCGAGCTCCTTGAGCAACTCGTCAATCCGGTCCTCTCCGATGTGGCCGATTGGATGTCGGCAAACGGACTCGCTCTTGCTCCGGAGAAGTCCGAGTGCGTGATCTTGACGGGCAAGTATGCTTACAGGTCACCCGATTTTTACCTGCAAGGCTTCCGAGTGCCAGTGAAGAAGGACATCAGATACCTAGGGGTGCGTCTGGACACCCGTCTCTCCTTCGTCAAACACACCACCTCGGTGGCTGCTGGCGCCAAAGAAGCGGCTGCCGCGCTCGGTAGGCTAATGCCTAACATCGGCAGGCCCTTGCAGTCCAAACGAAGCCTACTCATAAGCGTCGTTCTCAGCCGGCTACTCTACGGCACACCGATTTGGGTCGATGGCGTACTGAAAATCCGGAAATCTGATGAAGCTTTGTTGAAGGCCCAGAAGACCGCCGCGCTCAGAATCGCCAGGTGCTACAGGACCGTATCCGACATGGCCGCCCTGGTACTAGCCAAAATGCCACCGGCATCCCTCCTGGCCAAACGTAGGAAAATCATGGCCGAGTCTAAGAAATCCGGCAATATCTTACCGATAGCTGAAGCGACTAGAGAAACCATCAGTCAGTGGCAATTGATATGTGACTTTTCCACTGGAAAAGCCGTTTGGACCAAACGACTCATTCCCGACCTGGCCAGATGGTGGTACCAGAGGCCAAGCCAAGTTAGTTTCCACATGGCTCATGCACTGACAAATCATGGGTGCTTCCAAAAATACATTTGGTCAAGGAAGAGAGCAGAGAGTTCAGGTTACGTCCACTGAACGGCAGTAATTGACGATGCAGAGCACACAATTTTACAATGTCCCTTCTGGGACGAAGCGAGAAGCGAACTGTCTCAGCTCCTCAGTAGACAACCACTTCCCGAGGACGTCACGGACTTGATGTGCAGGCCGAAACTGGAGGATCTCCCCGTGGACCCGACTAACGTCCAAGAAGCTGCCAAGAGGATGCACAGGTCATTCAATAAAATGGTAGAGACTATTATGAGCAGAAAGGAAGAGCTGGAAAGAGCGACAAGGCGTCCAAATGGCAAGAGTGTAAAGAAACCTTAGTTAAGTATTACATATTGTAGGCTGATCGGCCAAACGCAGGGTGGTTAGAGGCCCCCACTTTTTATTTGTAAATATTTATTGTACTAAATTTATAGTAATTTATTGTAATAATCCGTTTTTGTCCCAATAAACGATGTGAGCGGGAAGGCAGCAATGGGCAGCCATATTTCCCTTCCCGTTTCACGATTCTAAACAGAAAAAAAAAAGGTTCTTTTTTTATTTTTTTTATTTTTTTTGGGTCTATTCTCGAAAAGATCAAGTAAACGTATACGTAATTACTCGTATACGAGCAATTCGTAACCTTTGCTCGTCTACGTTCATTATCTCGTATTCTTGAAAAGCATACGAGTAATCTAAACGACCAATTCGTATACGAATAAATCAAACGTACAAATCATTAAAAGTGTAGTTGGTAACTCTGAAAAATGTCAATCTTATCAAAGTTTTGGCGGGTTTTTGAAATATTTTGTACGTTATCACAGCCGACAGGCGTAGTCATGGCACAGCATTTTAGAATAAATGTGGTAAATGATAATGATAATAGCTATAATTATGAATTATTGGCTAAATATTTTTTATCTTTGATAATTATTAATGATTACTGAATGACGCTTACTAAGCAGTAAAACTGTAACTCATCGTAAATTGTTCCTTGTTTTTCTATTATTTTTTTATTAAATTTTTTAATTTTACTGCACTATTTGATCGTTTTACTCGTTTTTTTCTACAATGGATACGAAAAAATACAGAAAGCCGAATACTACAGATAAACAAAAAAAATTACTAGTAGACTTCATGGTATTACATCCAGAACTGGTGTCTGGAAAAAATACCTCGAAGTCTACAGTAAAACAAAGACAAAAGCTATGGGAAAGAATTTCAGAAGTTTTAAACTCTGAAGTTGGTCCAAATAAATCTTGGAGTGAGTGGAGAAAGGTATGTATAATAATATATTGTAATTGTATTATATAGTTGTGTAATGATTTTTAATAGTTTTATTATTATTATTTTTTTTTTTTTTTGCTTACTCAGACATGGCGTGATTTAAAAACAAATGTTAAGAGTACGGCAGGGTGTAACAGAAAAGAAAGGAATAAAATTGGTGGTGGAGAAGTAGATTTAGAAGTGTTTAGTGAATTTGAAAATAAGATATTGGAACTGATCGGTCCGACAATAGTTGAAGGATATAGTTCAGTGCAAGAAAAGCACTGCTGATATTTCGTTTTTTGTACCACATTTGTAAGTTTATTATGTAGGCTAATAATGTACTAATGTAGTTGCTAATGTTAAGTTAAATACTAATCTTGTGTATTATAGTAAATTGTAATTTAGTTAGATTCTTGTTGAGACAAAATGCTAAATTTCCATAGGTGTTTTAAAAGAACAAACAATATTAAATTATTTGGTAACAAATAACATTTATTTAATTATTAGATTAAATTGTATATTATTAATTATTTTAATATTAACTATTCAATTTTATAATGTACAAAAGATCAACACAAAGCTTAAATGAGTCAAATATAGAATTGGTCAATGATATGCCTGCTATGATAGATGATGTCTCAGATGATAATATGTGGAATGATGGGTTTGTTATATTTAAAAATATATAAATGTATGTCGTATAAGTGTAATTTTTAAAATTATTTATTTTATCTCAGTTGCTTGACTCAAGGACTTGAAGATCTTTTATCAAGTGTAAAAGATATAAATAAAGTGGTTGATGATAATTGTGCTAATGACCCTATAACAAATTGCCCAACCGTATCACAACCATCAATTAGGTTTGTATAGTTCTAATATTTGGAATAAAATGTTCTTACATACTTAAAAATGTATATTAAATATTAAACGTATACGTATTTTCTAATTAATTAAATTAATTTGTTCATAGAAATGTATATAGCGGTAAAAACAAATCAAAAATCAACAACTTGCAGAATACTGTTGCTGCCACAAAATCATTTGCTGCTATAAGCCAAAAAGAAACAAAAATTAAGGCCAATTATTATGAAAGAAAATTAATATTGCTGGAAAGAATTGCTGCAGCTGAGGAAAAAAAAGCTGAAGCTTTAACGAGTATTGCTCAAAGTCTGGAAAGTAGATATAAAATTTAACTGCTTGTTAAGCGCTTATTTAAAATTGTTTATTTGTTTTCTTCTTCTCTTCTTTGCTTAACTTTTATGCTTTATATGTTTTTTTTATTAAAATCTTCTTACCTTGACTTTTTGGTTTTTATCTAATGTTAATTATTATTGGGTGCTTGAGTATAAAAATATTGAGTTTATATGTTTTTAGGGTTGGTATGCTTTGAATGTCTAAATTGTATGCTTGAAAAGAATATTTAAGATAGTTTAATGATGATTTTAACTATTTTTGAATTAACAGTTCAAATTATATATTATTATATGTTAAATACAGTGTTGGGTAATACAAATAATAATATACCTACTATATATTATTAGTCATTATGGACTGATTTTAAAATTCATTTTTAAAAAAGTAACTTCATTTATAATGCCTTATTTTTTGTCTTTTGAATGTAAAAGTAACATAATTTTAATAGTTTTCTAAAGTAATTTACCCAACACTGGTTAAATGTTAATAATATATTAATAAATTATATTTTATAATACTAATAATAATATAATATGTATAAAAACAAATAATTAGAATACCAAACACAAATTTGAAGAAACATTGTTTATTACTAACTAAGGGGTAAAGGGGCTTACTTGTTTTTAACAGTATTAGACACTGCATGCTTGTTATAAAATGTATTAATACATAATATAACAAAAAATAATGACATTTTTAATAGATTTTTATTAATATTAGATTTTATTTTAATGTCTTGTAAAATATGAACGTATGACCAGTTGTTGCATACGACGACCAATTGTTAAATGTTGGCCTACTTCAGGGTCAGGATTAATTTGTGCATCATACATTCCAAAGTCGACATTTGCAGGATCATCAGGTTCATTTATTGGAACAGGTATATTTTCATTAATGCACATGTTATGGAGAATGGTACAAGCTATAATAATTTTTGATGCTCTCTCTGGGTGGTAGTGCAAAACTCTATGCTTCAGTAAACATCTAATTATAATTTAATAAAATAAATGTTTGAATTATTTATATATTATTTATTTAGCCTAAAGAGAATATGTACCTAAAGCGCATTTTCAGAATACCATTACATCTTTCAATTGTTGACCTTGTACTTGTATGCCAATTATTATAACCAGCATCAGGAGAATCTGGCGCTGGGTCACTTAGTGGCGTTAAAAGCCAAGATCTTAGTGGATATCCTGAATCACCTACAGAAGATATTTTACTGAATATATAAAATGTATCTTATACCAATTACAGAGAAGATTGGTAATTTATACCTAAGAGAAAATATGATGAATGACCATTACTATGTAAATTTTCCATGTACGTTGATACACGACTTTGACGCCATATATAGGAGTCATGAGTACTACCAGGAAAATTAGCATTTACGTTTAAAATTCTAGCATCTGAATCACAAACCTTGAATTGTATAATTTAATGAAATGTTAAAGTAATAGTATATAGTATTCAAGAAAGTATTAACTACCAGGTAAGTATTAGGTAAGTAGTAGGTAAGTATTACACTTTACACGTCAATTAATAAATCTAGTTAATAAAAAATAGTGTTTTGTGTAATTATTTCAGTTACAACATACAAATAATAATTTTATGAATTTCCCATGTATACAAAAAGTTATTTTTGAATGTACAAAAATAAAGGTATCTGTTTTATTTTAATAAGATTCAAGCTTTACATAACTTATATTTATTGTTATTTGTTTATGATTTAAACTAAATTTATTACTGTATTAATTATAAGGTTACTTTAGTGCCTATTTTTATTACTTACTAGTTGAGTGTTTATACTGTGATATCCTTTCCTGTTAACGTAAATATGTTCCGGATATAGTCCATTAGAATTAGGTAGAAAAATTGCTATATGGGTGCAATCTATGCAACCTATAACTCCCAGTACACCAGTTTTTTCTTAAAATCTAAATATTATTATTAAACAGTTTTACATTTTTAGTATAACTGTATAGGTAATTGATATTCAGTTATTATGGATATAGGACATAAGGTATGTCGTATGAGTGAAGACCGATATTATATTAGGTACCTGGTACCCATATTTAAGTATTAAATCATTTAAATTGATTTTTTTTTTTTGAGATTATTTAATTACAGTTATAGCCTATATAGGTATTAAAACAATAAAGTTTTTATGTAGACCCCCCCCCCCATGCCAATACCTAATGCCTTAAACCTTGATATTTAAATAATTTAGGTAAGTATAATATTCACCCTCTTCTGATAGTATTAAGTTTTTCAAAACTATCTGGAAAATGGATATAACGCTTGACAACATCAGATATATTCATTGCATCAGTGACCTCAGCTATGCATCGACTCACAGAAGCTTGGCTTAAGCCTAAAGACTGTTATCTCCTATATCAAGTTGATAAGATCCACTTGCAAAAAATCGCAATGCTGTCAAAACCTATTAATAATTTAAAATTGTACATCAAATTGATTGACAATTTTTATTAGGTACTATACCTACACCTACTTTAAACGTAGAAAAATTACTTATTAAATTATACCTTTCTTTCTATTGAAATTGACGATTTTCTTGTTGGTTCAGACATATAAGGCGTTAATACTTCAATGAGTTCACCAACCAACCCTTAACTTAGGCGGAATTTTTTAATAAACTGTTTATCAGATAGTTCTAAAATTAAATAAGGGCAATAATAATTAACGATTAAATAAAGGCTGTGTTTGGGGTCCCAAACAACCGTAGTTACAGTGCTGATTTTATTTAAATTCTTAACTTTTCCCGGGAAATAAGGTCAAAAATCTAGCCGCTAAAATATTATATTTATTTTACTGCCGTAATATATATATAATTTATTTAATGAATATAGTCAATAGGTACCATATTCAATATGAAATAAATTTTAAATATTCTTTAAAATTAATTATAATTTTTGTAAAAAGGACATAATATATTGAACGAACCTTCAAAAACATTTTGAACTTGGTAAAATCGACGAGGATGATTATCTACTGCATCTAACTCTACAAATTCTAATTGCTGTAACATTAACATTTGTTCAAATTCTTGAAAAGCCATCGTTTAAATTTGGGTTTACACTACAAGTAGGTAAATAAATAACGAATAAATAATTGAATTGAAAAAATGATTCAAATTTAAACTTTTAAACTTTTAATTAACGTTTATTGTTTGGTAGGTGTAAATACGTTTTGATTAAAACAATAAAATCAGATAGATAATGATAATAAAACGTAAGAACACTCTATTCGTATGGTGGATAAGTAACCGTAAGAGAACTACGAATAATTACGTATACGTATGTACGATAAAAATTCAAGAATACGGTTTTTTAATATACTACGTAAAAATGGTGGTTTACGTACGCTTTGGTCGTTCACTTTTCTTACGTTACATTCGAGAATAGACCCCCAGGACGGAAACCATGTTGCTCTTCCATAATAATATTATTGAAAGATCTAAGAATATCCTTTTGGACCAATGACTTAAACATTTTGGCAATATGCGATAAAATTGAGATGGGCCTTTAGTTGGAGACACCAGTTGGGCATCCGGACTTCAGAATTGGCGTAATTGATCCCAGTTTAAGAATGTGTGGAAAGATGCCTTCATCAAGTGATCGCCTAAGAAGGATCCACAGGGGATAAGATATAACGGATTTTAGCTTGAAAAGAAATACACCAGGTAGGCCATCTGGACCGACAGATTTGTTACAATGTAGTTCGGATAATTTTTGGAAGACATCATCTACGCTTAAAGAGACGTTGTTTGGCAGATCAAAAGAGTAGGTTATTGGGCAGCTATCAGATATGTTGTTTTTTCAACGAATAAACTTCATTACATTTCAGATTAGAGATGGAGCATCAAGAAGGGAACGAGAGAACACTACCGCTGTCTTAGCAGGTCATGTGCAACAACTCAGCAGAGATGAAGACCTCGCAGGATTTTAGAGAAGGGCTGGACACCGCAAAGATGGATACGTACAAGGCATAATCGGACCATATCCACAAGTAAATATATTTTATAATTTTATTTCAATTTTGTAAATTAATTTATATGATTGTTTTGTTTTTTAGTAGGATCAGTAAGTTGTACTTGTTATGTTTGTTATCCGGTTGGTACCTTATCAATATTTCACCTTAAGAGGACGTGGTACAAGCATATTATGTTGTCTCAGTCATACACGTGTACAACATAGCAAATTTTACGCTCAGCAGATCATGGTTAACTCCGGAGGGTAAACCACTATACAAAATGTTGTACACCAGATTGCGGATTTCAAATGATTTCTCAAGATTTCCAGTGATTTCCATTGATTTCCTATAATTTCCAAAGAATTTCTATGACTTCTGAATATTTTTATAGGTACCTAATTTGAATAATAATAACCTTTGAGCTATTTTATAATCTATTTAAAATACTTTAGTTCAAAATTCAATTTTTTCAAAAATAAAATTGGCGGGCAATTTTGTTTTGCCAATTTATCAAACTTATAATCGAGACGCGACTTTTTTGGGAACAGAAATTTGATCTTGAGGTGCCACTGCGTTGAACCTCGACGGTTTCAAGTCGATACGCCCAATATTGAAGGAGCTAGTAAATATGAAATAAAGTTCAAAATGTTTATTACTCAACATAGGCGCACATAGGGGGGTGCTTGGGGGTGCTTAGCACCCCCAGGTTTAAAATTAGCACCCTAAGTTTCCTGTAAAATTAATTTCAGTAATCCACTAATAATTTGTAAATTATTATGGTTTGTTGAGTTGGACATTTTTTTTCCATTATAATTATTATTATCTATTTAAATAGACAATATTAATATAGTTCACGAATTCACAGTATTGTATGATTGCCCGTATTTTTCGTCTAAACATTAAACAATAAACAGCAATCATAATATAATAGGAAATTATATTAACATTTATCTAATCTTACTTTATATTCTTATTATTATCTACTGTTCACGGTTAGCTAGACAGTCGATGCAATAATTATAAATTTAGAAAAACGTTTTTCGGAAGAAAGCTTAGAGCTGGCCGAATCTGTGGACAACTTTTTTAACTAGGATGAACATAAAAGTGTGTTTTATTAACAATTATAAGGTATATTTGATAAAAAATAACTAACTATTTAAAATATTTATTACATGGTCATATCTTTCAAAATATTATTAGTATATAAATCTGTTTGTGTATATCAGGATATTTTGAATATATCAACAACTAGTTTATCAGCCGAAATGTTGGTCTTAAAGAATAGTGTACCAGCCAACTTTGTATTTGAAGACTTGAAAAATCAATGTCATAAAAGTTCGTTTCCAAATGTCTATAAACTAGTTCAAGTGAAAATGACAATTCCAATTTCTTCTCCAACGTGTGAACGCTCCTCTCGGCTATGCGTAGATTGAAAAACTGGTTACGCACTAGTATGGGCCAAGAAAAATTTACTAAGCTATCTACGCTTAGCATTGAGAGAGATCTTACCAATAAAATAGATGGGGAAATTATATTGCAAAAATTTGCGTTATCAAACAGGAAATTAAATCTTGTTATTATTGTATTAGGGGGGTGTGGGGGGCAAAGCCCTCCACGGGTCTGTGTACCATAAATTATTCCAGCCCCCCCCCTAAATTCACACCCTATGTGCGCCTATGTTACTCAATAGGTTAAACAGACGTATACCACAAGGAGATGTCTGGTTATACGAAAAATCACATAATGCGTTTATCAACTTTTTGCTACTCCGATTATGGGCAAAATAATGATTGTACGTACTTTGACCATAAACCCTTTTTAAATTCTCGTATGCCAAAAGACTAGGATCTCGAGTTTAGTAGTGATCGAACGAAAACCCAAAATCCAAAATACACTTTACTATCTATTTTTTTAAGTACTAAAATCACACGAAACATCATAACACCCTAACTAAAAATTGGACAACCTCGATTTCAATATCCATCGATACGGCAAAAAGTCCTCTTCACATCCGACTACAAAACGGCTCTCTACGCCCAAAATCTAAGTGTATGTGCTGAAAAACACCAAAAAACGCAAATTTTGAATTTTTGAATCCCCAAAAGACAGGGAAAAACTGCTCCTACGGTCTCGACACATGACGCCGAAATTGATCACCAACCTCCAAACTATAAGAATCTCGAGTTTAAGAAACGCCGTACAAAAACTAAACGTTTTCAAAATAAACCATGGGGTTGGGGGGTCGATGACCCCCCGACTCCTGGAGTGCGTTTTAGAAGGACCGGGCCTAAACCAAAACGTTTGGTAACTTGAAAGTATAATATTATCTTATGTGAACGTCATCTACAAAGTACAACTTATAAATGATTTATTAAACCTTAAAAACTATTACATATTTACATAAGTTTGTTCACATTTCAACATTTGGTAATTATGTCAGTAGCATAGAACATTCTATGCTAGTAGATTTCTTAGAAGTAGTTACCTATTCATGTAATCATATCGATAATAAATCTATTTAAGAGTGTTAAACATGAACAATTGTTTGAATAATTGATGAAATTTGAATTTGAATTATCAAAATTAATTATACATAGGTCTTAAATATGATTATAATTAAATGTATTTTGTTATAATACTATAATATGACTTGCATTCAAAATTTAAATTTACTAACGATGGACAATATTATAGGTATAGTAAATTAGTAAATGACAGATGTATATTATATTAGGAATGTATTCTATTCAGAACCATTGTAGTGGTCTGTTTGTGGACGAGGTTCATCCCACATAGGAGAACTTGAAATGGTGAAATCTAGAGTTAATCGATAGATTTTTATGGAGATTCTATTTGAATGATCGGCGTAACGAATTTTTCAGTGGTTAAATGGATAGCTTCAAAAAACCATATAAAACACGATTTATCAAAAATCATAGATTATAAATTATGATAATGGATCATTTAATAACTATAACCACGGTTTAGGTTTTATATGGTTACCGTTTCAAATGCTAACAATATTGAGGTTATGTTCCTATTTTATGTCAATAATATTACTGTATGTTAATATTTGAAGTTTTTATTGAATTTATAAGATTTATTAAAATGTATTAATCACTTTTAACTATTTTTTATTATTTTAAGTAGGTTTTATATAATTAATTAATATGTTCACTACCTGTCCTTGTGCAGTATACAAATTACAAATCCAAACAGTTCGCCTTTCATGTGATTTTCGTAAGTCGTACATAGTTTTTACTAACCTGCTTGTGTATTATGTAGTATTTTATTTTAAATTACAGTGTAATTACTTGTAGGTAAAATATATTCGACAAAAAATTCAAACTATTGCGAGAACCAAGTTAAACTTATGATATCTTCAAGCTACAACAATCACATCAACAAACCATCATAACTCAAATCATGTAAGTTTTGTGTAGTGTTAAAATCCCTATAATGTATTTAGTCGAATCGTGAATTGCTGATTATGAGGTAGCTGCCTCGTGCAAAATGGAAGGAGGGTACCCCAATGACTCCAGTCTCAAACACCTATTATTATAGGTATAATATTTTTCAATAATGAATTACCTAATGAAGAAGCAAGTCCATTGATGAAAAATTACTTACTACCTACAATAATCAAACATTCAAATCTTCATAATTCATAACACATCAAGTAAGCTTTGTAGTAATATGTATCTGTTTGTACTTTGTAATATTAATTAATTTAGTGTTTTATTAAATTCTAGTCAAAAAGGAACAATAGTGAGTGATGTAGGAATGTGCCTGAGCCTCAAGGAGAACCTATTTGGAAAAATGCAATGCTGCTCCAATCTATCATAATTAATTATTTAAGGTAGTGTTGGATGGTTAATATTAATATTATGATATCGTAATTTTATTTGAATAAAAGTAATTTTTTGAACAAAATTAAGTTTAAGTTACATTTCAGATAGGTACCTAAGTACTTTGTCATAATGTTTGGTCTATTGTAGCCTGTAGGATTAATTAAAGAACAAATATAATATTGTACACCAAATGACAAATATAATATACTCTATTACATATAAGATTTGAATTTTG